AGGGGCACTCACGAGGGGGTGCAAGGGGCACTCACGAGGGGGTGAGAAGGGCACTCACGAGGGGTGCGATGGGCACTCACGAGGGGGTGCGAGGGGCACTCACGAGGGGGTGCGAGGGCACACTCACGAGGGGTACGAGGGGCACTCACGAGGGAGTGCGAGGGCACTCACGAGGGGGTGCGAGGGGCACTCACGAGGGGGTGCAAGGGGCACTCACGAGGGGGTGCGAGGGGCACTCACGAGGGGGTGGGAAGGGCACTCACGAGGGGGTGTGAGGGGCACTCACGAGGGGGTGCAAAGGGGCACTCACGAGGGGGTGCAAGGGGCACTCACGAGGGGGTGCGAGGGGCACTCACGAGGGGGTGCAAAGGGCACTCACGAGGGAGTGCGAGGGGCACTCACGAGGGGGTGCGAGGGGCACTCACGAGGGGGTGCGAGGGGCACTCACGAGGGGGTGCAAGGGCACTCACGAGGGGGTGCGAGGGGCACTCACGAGGGGGTGCAAAGGGGCACTCACGAGGGGTGCGAGGGGCACTCACGAGGGGGTGCAAAGGGCACTAACGAGGGAGTGCGAGGGGCACTCACGAGGGGGTGCGAGGGGCACTCACGAGGGGGTGGGAAGGGCACTCACGAGGGGGTGTGAGGGGCACTCACGAGGGGGGTGCAAAGGGGCACTCACGAGGGGGTGCAAGGGGCACTCACGAGGGGGTGCGAGGGGCACTCACGAGGGGGTGCAAGGGCACTCACGAGGGAGTGCGAGGGGCACTCACGAGGGGGTGCGAGGGGCACTCACGAGGGGGTGCAAAGGGCACTCATGAGGGAGTGCAAGGGGCACTCACGAGGGGGTGCGAGGGGCACTCACGAGGGGGTGGGAAGGGCACTCACGAGGGGGTGCGAGGGGCACTCACGAGGGGGTGCAAAGGGGCACTCACGAGGGGTGCAAGGGGCACTCACGAGGGGGTGCGAGGGGCACTCACGAGGGGGTGCGAGGGGCACTCACGAGGGGGTGCCGGTGAAGGGCACTCACGAGAGGGTGCGAGGGCACTCACGAGGGGGTGCGAGGGGCACTCACGAGGGGGTACGAGGGGCACTCACGAGGGAGTGCGAGGGGCACTCACGAGGGGGTGCGAGGGGCACTCACGAGGGGGTGCAAAGGGGCACTCACGAGGACTGTGCGAGGGGCACTCACGAGGGGGTGCGAGGGGCACTCACGAGGGGGTGCAAAGGGGCATTCACGAGGGGGTGCAAGGGGCACTCACGAGGGGTGTGCGAGGGGCACTCACGAGGGGGTGCAAAGGGCACTCACGAGGGAGTGAAAGGGGCACTCACCGAGGGGGTGCGAGGGGCACTCACGAGGTGGTGCAAAGGGCACTAATGAGGGAGTGCGAGGGGCACTCCACAAGGGGGTGCGAGGGGCACTCACGAGGGGGTGGAAGGGCAGTCACGAGGGGGTGCGAGGGGCACTCACGAGGGGGTGCAAAGGGGGGCACTCACGAGGGGGTGCAAGGGGCACTCACGAGGGGGTGGGAAGGGCACTCACGAGGGGGGTGCGAGGGGCACTCACGAGGGGGTGCGAGGGGCACTACGAGGGGGGGTACGAGGGGCACTCACGAGGGAGTGCGAGGGGCACTCACGAGGGGGTGCGAGGGGCACTCACGAGGGGGTGGGAAGGGCACTCACGAGGGGGTGCGAGGGGCACTCACGAGGGGGTGCGAGGGCACTCACGAGGGAGTGCAAGGGGCACTCACGAGGGGGTGCGAGGGGCACTCACGAGGGGGTGCAAAGTGGCACTCACGAAGGGGGGGCAAGGGGCACTCACGAGGGGGTGCGAGGGGGCACTCACGAGGGGGGGCAAAGGGCACTCACGAGGGAGTGCGAAGGGCACTCACGAGGGGGTGCGAGGGGCACTCACGAGGGGGTGCAAAGGGCACTAATGAGGGAGTGCGAGGGGCACTCACAAGGAGGTGCGAGGGCACTCACGAGGGGGTGGGAAGGGCAGTCACGAGGGGGTGCGAGGGGCACTCACGAGGGGGTGCAAAGGGGCAACTCACGAGGGGGGTGCAAGGGGCACTCACGAGGGGGTGGGAAGGGCACTCACAGAGGGGGTGCGATGGGCACTCACGAGGGGGTGCGAGGGGCACTCACGAGGGGGTGCGAGGGGCACTCACGAGGGGGTACGAGGGGCACTCACGAGGGAGTGCGAAGGGCACTCACGAGGGGGTGCGAGGGGCACTCTCGAGGGGGTGCAAGGGGCACTCACGAGGGGGGTGCGAGGGGCACTCACGAGGGGTGGGAAGGGCACTCACGAGGGGGTGTGAGGGGCACTCACGAGGGGGTGCAAAAGGGGCACTCACGAGGGGGTGCAAGGGGCACTCACGAGCGGGTGCGAGGGGCACTTACGAGGGGGTGCAAAAGGGCACTCACGAGGGAGTGCGAGGGGCACTCACGAGGGGGTGCGAGGGGGCACTCACGAGGGGGTGCAAGGGGCACTCACGAGGGGGTGCGAGGGGCACTCACGAGGGGGTGCAAAGGGCACTAACGAGGGGTAGTGCTTTCAGGCGAGGGGCACCACGAGGGGGTGCTAGGGGCACTCACGAGGGGGTGGCAAAGGGGCACTCACGAGGGGGTGCAAGGGGCACTCACGAGGGGGTGGGAAGGGCACTCACGAGGGGGTGCGAGGGGGCACTCACGAGGGGGTGCGAGGGGCACTAACGAGGGGGTACGAGGGGCACTCACGAGGGAGTGCGAGGGGCACTCACGAGGGGGTGCGAGGGGCAACTCACGAGGGGTGGGAAGGGCACTCACGAGGGGGTGCGAGGGGCACTCACGAGGGGGTGCGAGGGGCACTCACGAGGGAGTGCAAGGGGCACTCACGAGGGGGTGCGAGGGGCACTCACGAGGGGGTGCAAAGTGGCACTCACGAAGGGGGGGCAAGGGGCACTCACGAGGGGGTGCGAGGGGCACTCACGAGGGGGGGCAAAGGGCACTCACGAGGGAGTGCGAAGGGCACTCACGAGGGGGTGCGAGGGGCACTCACGAGGGGGTGCAAAGGGCACTCACGAGGGAGTGCGAGGGGCACTCACGAGGGGGTGCGAGGGGCACTCACGAGGGGGTGGGAGGGCACTCACGAGGGGGTGCGAGGGGCACTCACGAGGGGGTGCAAAGGGGCACTCACGAGGGGGTGCAAGGGGCACTCACGAGGGGGTGGGAAGGGCACTCACGAGGGGGTGCGAGGGGCACTCACGAGGGGGTGCGAGGGGCACTCACGAGGGGGTGCGAGGGGCACTCACGAGGGGTGCGAGGGGCACTCACGAGGGGGTGCGAAGGGCACTCACGAGGGGTGCGAGGGGCACTCACGAGGGGGTGCAAGGGGCACTCACGAGGGGGTGCGAGGGGCACTCACGAGGGGGTGCGAAGGGGCACTCACGAGGGGGTGCGAGGGGCACTCACGAGGGGGTGCAAAGGGGCACTCACGAGGGGGTGCAAGGGCACTCACGAGGGGTGCGAGGGGCACTCACGAGGGGGTGCAAAGGGCACTCACGAGGGGTGCGAGGGGCACTCACGAGGGGGTGCGAGGGGCACTCACGAGGGGGTGCAAAGGGGCACTCACGAGGGGGTGCGAGGGGGCACTCACGAGGGGGTGCAAAGGGCACTAACGAGGGAGTGCGAGGGGCACTCACGAGGGGGTGCGAGGGGCACTCCACGATGGGGGTGCAAAGGAGGCACTCACGAGGGGGTTGCAAGGGGCACTCACGAGGGGGTGCGAGGGGCACTCACGAGGGGGTGCAAAGGGCACTCACGAGGGAGTGAAAGGGGCACTCACGAGGGGGTGCGAGGGGCACTCACGAGGTGGTGCAAAGGGCACTAATGAGGGAGTGCGAGGGGCACTCACAAGGGGGTGCGAGGGGCACTCACGAGGGGGTGGGAAGGGCAGGTCACGAGGGGGTGCGAGGGGCACTCACGAGGGGGTGCAAAGGGGCACTCACGAGGGGGTGCAAGGGGCACTCACGAGGGGGTGGGAAGGGCACTCACGAGGGGGTGCGAGGGGCACTCACGAGGGGGTGCGAGGGGCACTAACGAGGGGGTACGAGGGGCACTCACGAGGGAGTGCGAGGGCACTCACGAGGGGGTGCGAGGGGCACTCACGAGGGGGTGGGAAGGGCACTCACGAGGGGGTGCGAGGGGCACTCACGAGGGGGTGCGAGGGGCACTCACGAGGGAGTGCAAGGGGCACTCACGAGGGGGTGCGAGGGGCACTCACGAGGGGGTGCAAAGTGGCACTCACGAAGGGGGGGCAAGGGGCACTCACGAGGGGGTGCGAGGGGCACTCACGAGGGGGGGCAAAGGGCACTCACGAGGGAGTGCGAAGGGCACTCACGAGGGGGTGCGAGGGGCACTCACGAGGGGGTGCAAAAGGGCAACTAATGAGGGGAGTGCGAGGGGCACTCACAAGGAGGTGCGAGGGGCACCTCACGAGGGGGTGGGAAGGGCAGTCACGAGGGGGTGCGAGGGGCACTCACGAGGGGGTGCAAAGGGGCACTCACGAGGGGGTGCAAGGGGCACTCACGAGGGGGTGGGAAGGGCACTCACGAGGGGGTGCGATGGGCACTCACGAGGGGGTGCGAGGGGCACTCACGAGGGGGTGCGAGGGGCACTCACGAGGGGGTACGAGGGGCACTCACGAGGGAGTGCGAAGGGCACTCACGAGGGGGTGCGAGGGGCACTCTCGAGGGGTGCAAGGGGCACTCACGAGGGGGTGCGAGGGGCACTCACGAGGGGTGGGAAGGGGCACTCACGAGGGGGTGTGAGGGGCACTCACGAGGGGGTGGCAAAGGGGCACTCACGAGGGGGTGCAAGGGGCACTTACGAGGCGGGTGCGAGGGGCACTCACGAGGGGGTGTAAAGGGCACTCACGAGGGAGTGCGAGGGGCACTCACGACGGGGGTGGCGAAGGGGCACTCACTGAGGGGTGGGAAGGGCACTCACGAGGGGGTGCGAGGGGCACTCACGAGGGGTGCAAAGGGCACTCACGAGGGGGTGCAAGGGGCACTCACGAGGGGGTGCGAGGGGCACTCACGAGAGGGTGCAAAGGGCACTCACGAGGGAGTGCGAGGGGCACTCACGAGGGGGTGCGAGGGGCACTCACGAGGGGGTGCAAAGGGCACTAATGAGGGAGTGCAAGGGGCACTCACGAGGGGGTGCGAGGGGCACTCACGAGGGGGTGGGAAGGGCACTCACGAGGGGGTGCGAGGGGCACTCACGAGGGGGTGCAAAGGGGCACTCACGAGGGGGTTCAAGGGGCACTCACGAGGGGGTGCGAGGGGCGCTCACGAGGGGGTGCGAGGGGCACTCACGAGGGGGTGGGAAGGGCACTCACGAGAGGGTGCGAGGGGCACTCACGAGGGGGTGCGAGGGGCACTCACGAGGGGGTAACGAGGGGCACTCACGAGGGAGTGCGAGGGGCACTCACGAGGGGGTGCGAGGGGCACTCACGAGGGGGTGCAAGGGGCACTCACGAGGGGGTGCGAGGGGCACTCACGAGGGGGTGCAAAGGGGCACTCACGAGGGGGTGGGAAGGGCACTCACAAGGGGGTGCAAAGGGGCACTCACGAGGGGGTGCAAGGGGCACTCACGAGGGGGTGGGAAGGGCACTCACGAGGGGGTGCGATGGGCACCTCACGAGGGGGTGCGAGGGGCACTCACGAGGGGGTGCGAGGGGCACTCACGAGGGGGTACGAGGGGCACTCACGAGGGAGTGCGAGGGGCACTCACGAGGGGGTGCGAGGGGCACTCACGAGGGGGTGCAAGGGGCACTCATGAGGGGGTGCGAGGGGCACTCACGAGGGGGGTGGGAAGGGCACTCACGAAGGGGTGTGAGGGGCACTCACGAGGGGGGTGCAAAGGGGCACTCACGAGGGGGTGCAAGGGGCACTCACGAGCGGGTGCGAGGGGCACTCACGAGGGGGTGCCAAGGGCACTCACGAGGGAGTGCGAGAGCACTCACGAGGGGGTGCGAGGGGCACTCACGAGGGGGTGGGAAGGGCACTCACGAGGGGGTGCGAGGGGCCACTCACGAGGGGTGCAAACGGGCACTCACGAGGGGGTACGAGGGGCACTCACGAGGGGGTGGGAAGGGCACTCACGAAGGGGTGCGAGGGGCACTCACGAGGGGGTGCAAAGGGGCACTCACGAGGGGGTGCAAGGGGCACTCACGAGGGGGTGAGAAGGGCACTCACGAGGGGGTGCGATGGGCACTCACGAGGGGGTGCAAGGGGCACTCACGAGGGGGTGCGAGGGGCACTCACGAGGGGGTACGAGGGGCACTCACGAGGGAGTGCGAGGGGCACTCACGAGGGGGTGCGAGGGGCACTCACGAGGGGGTGGCAAGGGGCACTCACGAGGGGGTGCGAGGGGCACTCACGAGGGGGTGGGAAGGGCACTCACGAGGGGGTGTGAGGGGCACTCACGAGGGGGTGCAAAGGGGGCACTCACGAGGGGGTGCAAGGGGCACTCACGAGCGGGTGCGAGGGGCACTTACGAGGGGGTGCAAAGGGCACTCACGAGGGAGTGCGAGGGGCACTCACGAGGGGGTGCGAGGGGCACTCACGAGGGGGTGCGAGGGGCAGTCACGAGGGGGTGCAAGGGGCACTCACGAGGGGGTGCGAGGAGCACTCACGAGGGGGTGCAAAGGGGCACTCACGAGGGGGTGCGAGGGGCACTCACGAGGGGGTGCAAAGGGCACTAACGAGGGAGTGCGAGGGGCACTCACGAGGGGGGTGCGAGGGGCACTCAAGAGGGGGTGGGAAGGGCACTCACGAGGGGGTGTGAGGGGCACATCACGAGGGGGGTGCAAAGGGGCACTCACAAGGGGGTGCAAGGGGCACTCACGAGGGGGTGCGAGGGGCACTCACGAGGGGGTGCAAAGGGCACTCACGAGGGAGTGCGAGGGGCACTCACGAGGGGGTGCGAGGGGCACTCACGAGGGGGGTGCAAAAGGCACTAATGAGGGAGTGCAAGGGGCACTCACAAGGGGGTGCGAGGGGGCACTCACGAGGGGGTGGAAGGGCAGTCACGAGGGGGTGCGAGGGGCACTCACGAGGGGGTGCAAAGGGGCACTCACGAGGGGGTGCAAGGGGCACTCACGAGGGGGTGCGAGGGTGCGCTCACGAGAGGGGTGCGAGGGGCACTCACGAGGGGGTGGGAAGGGCACTCACGAGAGGGTGCGAGGGGCACTCACGAGGGGGTGCGAGGGCACTCACGAGGGGGTACGAGGGGCACTCACGAGGGAGTGCGAGGGGCACTCACGAGGGGGTGCGAGGGGCACTCACGAGGGGGTGCAAAGGGGCACTCACGAGGGGGTGCGAGGGGCACTCACGAGGGGGTGCAAAGGGCACTAACGAGGGAGTGCGAGGGGCACTTCACGAGGGGGTGCGAGGGGCACTCACGAGGGGGTGCAAAGGGGCACTCACGAGGGGGTGCAAGGGGCACTCACGAGGGGGTGCGAGGGGCACTCACGAGGGGGTGCAAAGGGCACTCACGAGGGAGTGAAAGGGGCACTCACGAGGGGGTGCGAGGGGCACTCACGAGGTGGTGCAAAGGGGCACTAATGAGGGAGTGCGAGGGGCACATCACAAGGGGGTGCGAGGGGCACTCACGAGGGGGTGGGAAGGGCAGTCACGAGCGGGGTGCGAGGGGCACTCACGAGGGGGTGCAAAGGGGCACTCACGAGGTGGTGCAAAGGGGCACTCACGAGGGGGGTGCGAGGGGCACTCACGAGGGGGTGCAAAGGGCACTAACGAGGGAGTGCGAGGGGCACTCACGAGGGGGTGCGAGGGGCACTCACGAGGGGGTGCAAAGGGGCACTCACGAGGGGGTGCAAAGGGCACTAACGAGGGAGTGCGAGGGGCACTCACGAGGGGGTGCGAGGGGCACTCACGAGGGGGTGCAAAGGGGCACTCACGAGGGGGTGCGAGGGGCACTCACGAGGGGGTGCAAAGGGCACTAACGAGGGAGTGCGAGGGGCACTCACGAGGGGGTGCGAGGGGCACTCACGAGGGGGTGCAAAGGGGCACTCACGAGGGGGGTGCAAGGGGCACTCACGAGGGGGTGCGAGGGGCACTCACGAGGGGGTGCAAAGGGCACTCACGAGGGAGTGAAAGGGGCACTCACGAGGGGGTGCGAGGGGCACTCACGAGGGGGTGCAAAGGGCACTCACGAGGGAGTGAAAGGGGCACTCACAAGGGGGTGCGAGGGGCACTCATGAGGGGGTGGGAAGGGCAGTCACGAGGGGGTGCGAGGGGCACTCACGAGGGGGTGCAAAGGGGCACTCTACGAGGGGGTGCAAGGGGCACTCACGAGGGGGTGGGAAGGGCACTCACGAGGGGGGTGCGAGGGGCACTCACGAGGGGGTGCGAGGGGCACTAACGAGGGGGTACGAGGGGAACTCACGAGGGAGTGCGAGGGGCACTCACGAGGGGGTGCGAGGGGCACTCACGAGGGGGTGGGAAGGGCACTCACGAGGGGGTGCGAGGGGCACTCACGAGGGGGTGCGAGGGGCACTCACGAGGGAGTGCAAGGGGCACTCACGAGGGGGTGCGAGGGGCACTCACGAGGGGGTGCAAAGTGGCACTCACGAAGGGGGGGCAAGGGGCACTCACGAGGGGGTGCGAGGGGCACTCACAAGGGGGGGCAAAGGGCACTCACGAGGGAGTGCGAAGGGCACTCACGAGGGGGTGCGAGGGGCACTCACGAGGGGGTGCAAAGGGCACTAATGAGGGATGTGCGAGGGGGCACTCACAAGGAGGTGCGAGGGGCACTCACGAGGGGGGTGGGAAGGGCAGTCACGAGGGGGTGCGAGGGGCACTCACGAGGGGGTGCAAAGGGGCACTCACGAGGGGGTGCAAGGGGCACTCACGAGGGGGTGGGAAGGGCACTCACGAGGGGGTGCGATGGGCACTCACGAGGGGGTGCGAGGGGCACTCATGAGGGGTTGCGAGGGGCACTCACGAGGGGGTACGAGGGGGCACTCACGAGGGAGTGCGAAGGGCACTCACGAGGGGGTGCGAGGGGCACTCTCGAGGGGGTGCAAGGGGCACTCACGAGGGGGTGCGAGGGGGCACTCTCGAGGGGTGGAAGGGCACTCACGAGGGGGTGTGAGGGGCCTCACGAGGGGGGTGCAAAGGGGCACTCACGAGGGGGTGCAAGGGGGCACTTACGAGCGGGTGCGAGGGGCACTCACGAGGGGGTGTAAAGGCACTCACGAGGGAGTGCGAGGGCACTCACGAGGGGGTGCGAGGGGCACTCACGAGGGGGTGGGAAGGCACTCACTAGGGGGTGCGAGGGGACCACTCACGAGAGGGTGCAAAGGGGCACTCACGAGGGGGTGCAAGGGGCACTCACGAGGGGGGTGCGAGGTGCACTCACGAGAGGGGGCAAAGGGCACTCACGAGGGAGTGCGAGGGGCACTCACGAGGGGGTGGCGAGGGGCACTCACGAGGGGGTGCAAAGGGCACTAATGAGGGAGTGCAAGGGGCACTCACGAGGGGGTGCGAGGGGCACTCACGAGGGGGTGGGAAGGGCACTCACGAGGGGGTGCGAGGGGCACTCATGAGGGGGTGCAAAGGGGCACTCACGAGGGGGTTCAAGGGGCACTCACGAGGGGGGTGCGAGGGGCGCTCACGAGGGGGGTGCGAGGGGGCACTCACGAGGGGGTGGGAAGGGCACTCACGAGGGGTGCGAGGGGCACTCACGAGGGGGTGCGAGGGGCACTCACGAGGGGGTGCGAAGGGCACTCACGAGGGGGTGCGAGGGGCACTCACGAGAGGGGTGCGAGGGGCACTCACGAGGGGGTGCGAAGGGCACTCACGAGGGGGTGCGAGGGGCACTCACGAGGGGGTGCGAGGGGCACTCACGAGGGGGTGCAAGGGCACTCACGAGGGGGTGCGAGGGGCACTCACGAGGGGGTGCAAGGGGCACTCACGAGGGGGTGCAAGGGGCACTCACGAGGGGGTGCGAGGGGCACTCACGAGGGGGTGGAAGGGCACTCACGAGGGGGTGCGAGGGGCACTCACGAGGGGGTGCAAGGGGCACTCACGAGGGGGTGCAAGGGGCACTCACGAGGGGGTGCGAGGGGCACTCACGAGGGGGTGCAAGGGCACTCACGAGGGGTGCGAGGGGCACTCACGAGGGGGTGCGAGGGGCACTCACGAGGGGGTGCGAAGGGCACTCACGAGGGGGTGCGAGGGGCACTCACGAGGGGGTGCGAGGGGCACTCACGAGGGGGTGCGAGGGGCACTCACGAGGGGTGCGAGGGGCACTCACGAGGGGGTGCGAGGGGCACTCACGAGGGGGTGCAAGGGGCACTCACGAGGGGGTGCGAGGGGCACTCACGAGGGGGTGCAAGGGGCACTCACGAGGGGGTGCAAGGGGCACTCACGAGGGGGTGCGAGGGGCACTCACGAGGGGGTGCAAGGGCACTCACGAGGGGGTGCGAGGGGCACTCACGAGGGGTGCGAGGGCACTCACGAGGGGGTGCGAGGGCACTCACGAGGGGGTGCGAGGGGCTCACGAGGGGTGGGAAGGGCACTCACGAGGGGGTGCGAGGGGCACTCACGAGGGGGTGCGAGGGGCACTCACGAGGGGGTGCGAGGGGCACTCACGAGGGGGTGCGAGGGGCACTCACGAGGGGGTGCGAGGGGCACTCACGAGGGGGTGCAAGGGGCACTCACGAGGGGGTGCGAGGGGCACTCACGAGGGGGTGCAAAGGGGCACTCACGAGGGGGTGCAGGGGCACTCACGAGGGGGTGCGAGGGGCACTCACGAGGGGGTGCAAAGGGCACTCTCACGAGGGGGTGCGAGGGGCACTCACGAGGGGGTGCGAGGGGCACTCACGAGGGGGTGGGAAGGGCACTCACGAGGGGGTGCGAGGGGCACTCACGAGGGGGTGCAAAGGGGCACTCACGAGGGGGTGCAAGGGGCACTCACGAGGGGGTGGGAAGGGCACTCACGAGGGGGTGCGATGGGCACTCACGAGGGGTGCGAGGGGCACTCACGAGGGGGTGCGAGGGGCACTCACGAGGGGGTGCGAGGGGCACTCACGAGGGGTGCGAGGGGCACTCACGAGGGGGTGCGAGGGGCACTCACGAGGGGGTGCAAGGGCACTCACGAGGGGGTGCGAGGGCACTCACGAGGGGGTGGGAAGGGCACTCACGAGGGGTGTGAGGGGCACTCACGAGGGGGTGCAAAGGGGCACTCACGAGGGGGTGCAAGGGGCACTCACGAGGGGTGCGAGGGGCACTCACGAGGGGGTGCAAAGGGCACTCACGAGGGAGTGCGAGGGGCACTCACGAGGGGTGCAAGGGGCACTCACGAGGGGGTGGAAGGGCACTCACGAGGGGGTGCGAGGGGCACTCACGAGGGGGTGCAAGGGGCACTCACGAGGGGGTGCGAGGGGCACTCACGAGGGGGTGCGGGAAGGGCACTCACGAGGGGGTGCGAGGGGCACTCACGAGGGGGTGCAAGGGGCACTCACGAGGGGGTGCGAGGGGCACTCACGAGGGGGTGCAAAGGGCACTCACGAGGGGGTGCGAAGGGCACTCACGAGGGGGTGCGAGGGGCACTCACGAGGGGGTGAAAGGGCACTCACGAGGGGTGCGAGGGGCACTCACGAGGGGGTGCGAAGGGCACTCACGAGGGGTGCGAGGGGCACTCACGAGGGGGTGCAAAGGGGCACTCACGAGGGGGTGCGAAGGGGCACTCACGAGGGGGTGGGAGGGCACTCACGAGGGGGTGCGAGGGGCACTCACGAGGGGGTGCGAAGGGCACTCACGAGGGGGTGCAAAGGGCACTCACGAGGGGGTGCAAGGGGCACTCACGAGGGGGTGCGAAGGGCACTCACGAGGGGGTGCGATGGGCACTCACGAGGGGGTGCGAGGGGCACTCACGAGGGGGTGCGAGGGGCACTCACGAGGGGGTGCGAGGGCACTCACGAGGGGGTGCGAGGGGCACTCACGAGGGGGTGCGAGGGGCACTCACGAGGGGGTGGGCAAGGGGCACTCACGAGGGGGTGCGAGGGGCACTCACGAGGGGGTGGGAAGGGCACTCACGAGGGGGTGCGAGGGGCACTCACGAGGGGGTGCAAAGGGCACTCACGAGGGGGTGCAAGGGCACTCACGAGGGGTGCGAGGGGCACTCACGAGGGGGTGCAAGGGCACTCACGAGGGGGTGCGAGGGGCACTCACGAGGGGTGCGGGGCACTCACGAGGGGTGGGAAAGGGGCACTCACGAGGGGGTGCGAGGGGCACTCACGAGGGGTGCGAGGGCACTCACGAGGGGGTGCGAGGGGCACTCACGAGGGGGTGCGAGGGGCACTCACGAGGGGGTGCGAGGGGCACTCACGAGGGGGTGCGAGGGGCACTCACGAGGGGGTGCGAGGGGCACTCACGAGGGGGTGCAAGGGGCACTCACGAGGGGGTGCAAGGGCACTCACGAGGGGGTGCGAGGGGCACTCACGAGGGGGTGGAAGGGCACTCACGAGGGGTGCGAGGGGCACTCACGAGGGGGTGCAAGGGGCACTCACGAGGGGGTGCAAGGGCACTCACGAGGGGGTGCGAGGGGCACTCACGAGGGGGTGCAAAGGGCACTCACGAGGGAGTGCGAGGGGCACTCACGAGGGGGTGCGAGGGGCACTCACGGGGGGGGTGGGAAGGGCACTCACGAGGGGTGCGAGGGGCACTCACGAGGGGGTGCGAGGGGCACTCACGAGGGGGTGCGAAGGGCACTCACGAGGGAGTGCGAGGGGCACTCACGAGGGGGTGCGAGGGGCACTCACGAGGGGGTGCAAGGGGCACTCACGAGGGGGTGCGAGGGGCACTCACGAGGGGGTGCAAAGGGGCACTCACGAGGGGGTGCAAGGGGCACTCACGAGGGGGTGCGAGGGGCACTCACGAGGGGGTGCAAAGGGCACTCACGAGGGGGTGCGAGGGGCACTCACGAGGGGTGCGAGGGGCACTCACGAGGGGGTGCGAAGGGGCACTCACGAGGGGTGCGAGGGGCACTCACGAGGGGGTGCGAAGGGCACTCACGAGGGGGTGCGAGGGGCACTCACGAGGGGTGCGAGGGGCACTCACGAGGGGTGCGAGGGGCACTCACGAGGGGGTGCGAGGGGCACTCACGAGGGGGTGCGAGGGGCACTCACGAGGGGTGCAGGGGCACTCACGAGGGGGTGCGAGGGGCACTCACAGAGGGGGTGCAAAGGGGCACTCACGAGGGGGTGCAAGGGGCACCTCACGAGAGGGTGCGAGGGGGCACTCACGAGAGGGTGCAAAAGGGGCACTCACGAGGGAGTGCGAGGGGCACCCACGAGGGGGTGCGAGGGGCACTCATGAGGGGGTGGGAAGGGCACTCACAAGGGGGTGCGACGGGCACTCACGAGGGGGTGCAAAGGGGCACTCACGAGGGGGTGCAAGGGGCACTCACGAGGGGGTGGGAAGGGCACTCACGAGGGGGTGCGATGGGCACTCACGAGGGGGTGCGAGGGGCACTCACGAGGGGGTGCGAGGGGCACTCACGAGGGGGGTACGAGGGGCACTCACGAGGGAGTGCGAGGGGCACTCACGAGGGGTGCGAGGGGGCACTCACGAGGGGGTGCAAGGGGCACTCACGAGGGGGTGCGAGGGGCACTCACAAGGGGGTGGGAAGGGCACTCACGAGGGGGTGTGAGGGGCACTCACGAGGGGGTGCAAAGGGGCACTCACGAGGGGGTGCAAGGGGCACTCACGAGCGGGTGCGAGGGGCACTCACGAGGGGGTGCAAAGGGCACTCACTAGGGAGTGCGAGGGGCACTCACGAGGGGGTGCAAGGGGCACTCACGAGGGGGTGGGAAGGGCACTCACGAGGGGGTGCGAGGGGCACTCACGAGGGGGTGCAAACGGGCACTCACGAGGGGGTACGAGGGGCACTCACGAGGGGGTGGGAAGGGCACTCACGAGGGGGTGCGAGGGGCACTCACGAGGGGGGTGCAAGGGGCACTCACGAGCGGGTGCGAGGGGCACTCACGAGGGGGTGCAAAGGGCACTCACGAGGGAGTGCGAGAGGCACTCACGAGGGGGTGCGAGGGGGCACTCACGAGGGGGTGCAAAGGGCACTAATGAGGGAGTGCGAGGGGCACTCACAAGGGGGTGGGAAGGGGCAGTCACGAGGGGGTGGCGAGGGGCACTCACGAGGGGGTGCAAAGGGGCACTCACGAGGGGGTGCAAGGGGCACTCACGAGGGGGTGGGAAGGGCACTCACGAGGGGGTGCGATGGGCACTCACGAGGGGGTGCGAGGGGCACTCACGAGGGGGTGCGAGGGGGCACTCACGAGGGGGTACGAGGGGCACTCACCGAGGGAGTGCGAGGGGCACTCACGAGGGGGGCGCGAGGGGCACTCACGAGGGGGGTGCAAGGGGCACTCACGAGGGGGTGCGAGGGGCACTCACGAGGGGGTGGGAAGGGCACTCACTGAGGGGGTGTGAGGGGCACTCACGAGGGGGTGCAAAGGGGCACTCACGAGGGGGTGCAAGGGGCACTCACGAGCGGGTGCGAGGGGCACTCACGAGGGGGTGCAAAGGGCACTCACGAGGGAGTGCGAGGGGCACTCACGAGGGGGTGCGAGGGGCACTCACGAGGGGGTGGGAAGGGCACTCACGAGGGGGTGCGAGGGGCACTCACGAGGGGGTGCAAACGGGCACTCACGAGGGGGTACGAGGGGGCACTCACGAGGGGGGTGGGAAGGGCACTCACGAGGGGGTGCGAGGGGCACTCACGAGGTGGTGCAAAGGGGGCACTCACGAGGGGGTGCAAGGGGCACTCACGAGGGGGTGGGAAAGGGCACTCACGAGGGGGTGCGATGGGCACTCACGAGGGGGTGCGAGGGGCACTCACGAGGGGGTGCGAGGGGCACTCACGAGGGGGTACGAGGGGCACTTCACGGGGAGTGCGAGGGGCACTCACGGGGGGTGCGAGGGGCACTCACGAGGGGGTGCAAGGGGCAACTCACGAGGGGGTGAGAGGGGCACTCACGAGGGGGTGGGAAGGGCACTCACGAGGGGGTGTGAGGGGCACTCACGAGGGGGTGCAAAGGGGCACTCACGAGGGGGTGCAAGGGGCACTCACGAGCGGGTGCGAGGGGCACTCACGAGTGGGGTGCAAAGGGCACTCACGAGGGAGTGCGAGGGGCACTCACGAGGGGTGCGAGGGGCACTCACGAGGGGGTGGGAAGGGCACTCACGAGGGGGTGCGAGGGGCACCTCACGAGGGGGTGCGAGGGGCACTCACGATGGGGGTAGAGGGGCACTCACGAGGGAGTGCGAGGGGCACTCACGAGGGGGTGCGACGGGCAGTCACGAGGGGGTGGCAAGGGGCACCTCACGAGGGGGTGCGAGGGGCACTCACGAGGGGGTGCAAAGGGGCACTCACGAGGGGGTGCGAGGGGCACTCACGAGGGGGTGCAAAGGGCACTAACGAGGGAGTGCGAGGGGCACTCACGAGGGGGTGCGAGAGGCACTCACGAGGGGGTGGGAAGGGCACTCACGAGGGGGTGTGAGGGGCACTCACGAGGGGGTGCAAGGGGGCACTCACGAGGGGGGTGCAAGGGGCACTCACGAGGGGGTGCGAGGGGCACTCACGAGGGGGTGCAAAGGGCACTCACGAGGGAGTGCGAGGGGCACTCACGAGGGGGTGCGAGGGGCACTCACGAGGGAGTGCAAAGGGCACTAATGAGGGAGTGCGAGGGGCACTCACAAGGGGGTGCGAGGGGCACTCACGAGGGGGGTGGGAAGGGCAGTCACGAGGGGGTGCGAGGGGCACTCACGAGGGGGTGCAAAGGGGCACTCACGAGGGTGTGCAAGGGGCACTCACGAGGGGGTGGGAGGGGCGCTCACGAGGGGGTGCGAGGGGCACTCACGAGGGGGTGGGAAGGGGCACTCACGAGGGGGTGCGAGGGGCACTCACGAGGGGGTGCGAGGGGCACTCACGAGGGGGTACGAGGGGCACTCACGAGGGAGTGCGAGGGGCACTCACGAGGGGGTGCGAGGGGCACTCACGAGGGGGTGGGAAGGGCACTCACGAGGGGGTGCGAGGGGCACTCACGAGGGGGTACGAGAGGCCTCACGAGGGAGTGCGAGGGGCACTCACGAGGGGGGTGCGAGGGGCACTCACGAGGGGGTGCAAGGGGCACTCACGAGGGGGTGCGAGGGGCACTCACGAGGGGGTGCAAAGGGGCACTCACGAGGGGGTGCAAGGGGCACTCACGAGGGGGTGCGAGGGGCACTCCACGAGAGGGTGCAAAGGGCACTCACGAGGGAGTGCGAGGGGCACTCACGATGGGGTGCGAGGGGCACTCACGAGGGGGTGGGAAGGGCACTCACGAGGGGGTGCGAGGGCACTCACGAGGGGGTGGGAAGGGCACTCACGAGGGGGTGCGAGGGGCACTCACGAGGGGGTGCGAGGGGCACTCACGAGGGGGTACGAGAGGCACTCACGAGGGAGTGGAGGGGCACTCACGAGGGGGTGCGAGGGGCACTCACGAGGGGGTGCAAGGGGCACTCACGAGGGGGTGCGAGGGGCACTCACGAGGGGGTGCAAAGGGGCACTCACGAGGGGGTGCAAGGGGCACTCACGAGAGGGTGCGAGGGGCACTCACGGAGGGTCGGAGAGGTGCAAAAGGGCGACTCACGACGGAGTTGGCGAGGGGCACTCACGAGGGGGTGCGAGGGACACTCATGAGGGGGTGGGAAGGGCACTCACGAGGGGGTGCGAGGGCACTCACGAGGGGGTGGGAAGGGCACTCACGAGGGGGTGTGAGGGGCACTCATGAGGGGGTGCAAAGGGGCACTCACGAGGGGGTGCAAGGGGCACTCACGAGCGGTGTGCGAGGGGCACTCACGAGGGGGTGCAAAGGGCACTCACGAGGAGTGCGAGGGGGCACTCACGAGGGGGTGCAAGGGCACTCACGAGGGGGTGGGAAGGGCACTCACGAGGGGTGCGAGGGGCACTCACGAGGGGGTGCAAACGGGGCACTCACGAGGGGGTACGAGGGGCACTCACGAGGGGGTGGGAAGGGCACTCACGAGGGGGTGCGAGGGGCACTCACGAGGGGGGTGCAAGGGGCAACTCACGAGCGGGTGCGAGGGGCACTCACGAGGGGGTGCAAAGGGCACTCACGAGGGAGTGCGAGAGGCACTCACGAGGGGGTGCGAGGGGCACTCACGAGGGGGTGCAAAGGGCACTAATGAGGGAGTGCGAGGGGCACTTACAAGGGGGTGGGAAGGGCAGTCACGAGGGGGTGCGAGGGGCACTCACGAGGGGGTGCAAAGGGGCACTCACGAGGGGGTGCAAGGGGCACTCACGAGGGGGTGGGAAGGGCACTCACAAGCGGCGTGCAAGGGGCACTCACGAGGGGGTGGGAAGGGGCACTCACGAGGGGGTGCAAAGGGGCACTCACGAGGGGGTGCAAGGGGCACTCACGAGGGGGTGGGAAGGGCACTCACGAGGGGGTGCGATGCGCACATCACGAGGGGGTGCGAGGGGCACTCACGAGGGGGTGCGAGGGGCACTCACGAGGGGGTACGAGGGGCACTCACGAGGGAGTGCGAGGGGCACTCACGAGGGGGCGCGAGGGGCACTCACGAGGGGGTGCAAGGGGGCACTCACAAGGGGGTGCTAGGGGCACTCACGAGGGGGTGGGAAGGGGCACTCACGAGGGGGTGTGAGGGGCACTCACGAGGGGGGTGCAAAGGGGCACTCACGAGGGGGTGGGAAGGGCACTCACAAGGGGGTGCAAGGGGCACTCACGAGGGGGTGGGAAGGGCACTCACGAGGGGGGTGCAAAGGGGCACTCACGAGGGGGTGCAAGGGGCACTCACGAGGGGGTGGGAAGGGCACTCACAAGGGGGTGCAAGGGGCACTCACGAGGGGGTGGGAAGGGCACTCACGAGGGGGTGCAAAGGGGCACTCACGAGGGGGTGCAAGGGGCACTCACGAGGGGGTGGGAAGGGCACTCACGAGGGGGTGCGATGGGCACTCACGAGGGGGTGCGAGGGGCACTCACGAGGGGGTGCGAGGGGCACTCACGAGGGGGTACGAGGGGCACTCACGAGGGAGTGCGAGGGGCACTCACGAGGGGGCGCGAGGGGCACTCACGAGGGGGTGCAAGGGGCACTCACGAGGGGGTGCGAGGGGCACTCACGAGGGGGTGGGAAGGGGCACTCACGAGGGGGTGTGAGGGGCACTCACGAGGGGGTGCAAAGGGGCACTCACGAGGGGGTGCAGGGGCACTCACGAGCGGTGCGAGGGGGCAACTCCACGAGGGGGTGCAAAGGGCACTCACGAGGGAGTGCGAGGGGCACTCACGAGGGGGTGCGAGGGGCACTCACGAGGGGGTGGGAAGGGCACTCACGAGGGGGTGCGAGGGGCACTCAACGAGGGGGGTGCAAACGGGCACTCACGAGGGGGTACGAGGGGCACTCACGAGGGGGTGGGAAGGGCACTCACGAGGGGGTGCGAGGGGCACTCACGAGGGGGTGCAAAGGGGCACTCACGAGGGGGTGCAAGGGGCACTCACGAGGGGGTGGGAAGGGCACTCACGAGGGGGTGCGATGGCACTCACGAGGGGGTGCGAGGGGCACTCACGAGGGGGGTGCGAGGGGCACTCACGAGGGGGTACGAGGGGCACTCACGAGGGAGTGCGAGGGGCACTCACAGGGGGTGCGAGGGGCACTCACGAGGGGGTGCAAGGGGCACTCACGAGGGGGTGCGAGGGGCACTCACGAGGGGGGTGGGAAGGGCACTCACGAGGGGGTGTGAGGGGCACTCACGAGGGGGTGCAAAGGGGCACTCACGAGGGGGTGCAAGGGGCACTCACGAGCGGGTGCGAGGGGCACTCACGAGGGGGTGCAAAGGGCACTCACGAGGGAGTGCGAGGGGCACTCACGAGGGGGTGCGAGGGGCACTCACGAGGGGGTGGGAAGGGCACTCACGAGGGGGTACGAGGGGCACTCACGAGGGAGTGCGAGGGGCACTCACGAGGGGGTGCGACGGGCAGTCACGAGGGGTGCAAGGGGCACTCACGAGGGGGTGCGAGGGGCACTCACGAGGGGGTGCAAAGGGGCACTCACGAGGGGGTGCGAGGGGCACTCACGAGGGGGTGGCAAAGGGCACTAACGAGGGAGTGCGAGGGGCACTCACGAGGGGGGTGCGAGGGGCACTCACGAGGGGGTGGGAAGGGCACTCACGAGGGGGTGTGAGGGGCACTCACGAGGGGGTGCAAGGGGGCACTCTTGAGGGGGGTGCAAGGGGCACTCACGAGGGGGTGCGAGGGGCACTCACGAGGGGGTGCAAAGGGCACTCACGAGGGAGTGCGAGGGGCACTCACGAGGGGGTGCGATGGGCACTCACGAGGGGGTGCAAAGGGCACTAATGAGGGAGTGCGAGGGGCACTCACAAGGGGGTGCGAGGGGCACTCACGAGGGGGTGGGAAGGGCAGTCACGAGGGGGTGCGAGGGGCACTCACGAGGGGGTGCAAGGGGCACTCACGAGGGGGTGGGAGGGGCGCTCACGAGGGGGTGCGAGGGGCACTCACGAGGGGGTGGGAAGGGCACTCACGAGGGGGTGCGAGGGGCACTCACGAGGGGGTGCGAGGGGCACTCACGAGGGGGTACGAGGGGCACTCACGAGGGAGTGCGAGGGGCACTCACAAGGGGGTGCGAGGGGCACTCACGAGGGGGTGGGAAGGGCACTCACGAGGGGGTGCGAGGGGCACTCACAAGGGGGTGCAAAAGGGGCACTCACGAGGGGGTGCAAGGGGCACTCACGAGGGGGTGCGAGGCGCACTCACGAGGGGGGTGCAAAGGGCACTCACGAGGGAGTGCGAGGGGCACTCACGAGGGGGTGCGAGGGGCACTCACGAGGGGGTGGGAAGGGCACTCACGAGGGGGTGCGAGGGGCACTCACGAGGGGGTGCGAGGGGCACTCACGAGGGGGTACGAGAGGCACTCACGAGGGAGTGCGAGGGGCACTCACGAGGGGGTGCGAGGGGCACTCATGAGGGGGTGCAAGGGGCACTCACGAGGGGGTGCGAGGGGCACTCACGAGGGGGTGCAAAGGGGGCACTCACGAGGGGGTGCAAGGGACACTCACGAGGGGGTGCGAGGGGCACTCACGAGAGGGTGCAAAGGGCACTCACGAGGGAGTGCGAGGGGCACTCACGAGGGGGTGCGAGGGGCACTCACGAGGGGGTGGGAAGGGCACTTACGAGGGGGTGCGAGGGGCACTCACGAGGGGGTGGGAAGGGCACTCACGAGGGGGTGCGAGGGGGCACTCACGAGGGGGTGCGAGGGGCACTCACGAGGGGGTACGAGAGGCACTCACGAGGGAGTGCGAGGGGCACTCACGAGGGGGTGCGAGGGCACTTACGAGGGGGTGCAAATGGGCACTCACGAGGGGGTGCAAGGGGCACTCACGAGAGGGTGCGAGGGGCACTCACGAGGGGGTGCAAAGGGGCACTCACGAGGGGGTGCAAGGGGCACTCACGAGGGGGTGTGAGGGGCACTCACGAGAGGGTGCAAAGGTCACTCACGAGGGAGTGCGAGGGGCACTCACGAGGGGGTGCGAGGGGCACTCACGAGGGGGTGGGAAGGGCACTCACGAGGGGGTGCGAGGGGCACTCACGAGGGGGTGCGAGGGGCACTCACGAGGGGGTACAAGAGGCACTCACGAGGGAGTGCGAGGGGCACTCACGAGGGGGTGCGAGGGGCACTCACGAGGGGGTGCAAGGGGGCACTCACGAGTGGGTGGCGAGGGGCACTCACGAGGGGGTGCAAAGGGGCACTCACGAGGGGGTGCAAGGGGCACTCACGAGGGGGTGCGAGGGGCACTCACGAGGGGGTGCGAGGGGCACTCACGAGGGGGTGCGAGGGGCACTCACGAGGGGGTACGAGAGGCACTCACGAGGGAGTGCGAGGGGCACTCACGAGGGGGTGCGAGGGGCACTCACGAGGGGGTGCAAGGGGCACTCACGAGGGGGTGGCGAGGGGCACTCACGAGGGGGTGCAAAGGGGCACTCACGAGGGGGTGCAAGGGACACTCACGAGGGGGTGCGAGGGGCACTCACGAGAGGGTGCAAAGGGCACTCACGAGGGAGTGCGAGGGGCACTCACGAGGGGGTGCGAGGGGCACTCACGAGGGGGTGGGAAGGGCACTTACGAGGGGGTGCGAGGGGCACTCACGAGGGGGTGGGAAGGGCACTCACGAGGGGGTGCGAGGGGCACTCACGAGGGGGTGCGAGGGGCACTCACGAGGGGGTACGAGAGGCACTCACGAGGGAGTGCGAGGGGCACTCACGAGGGGGTGCGAGGGGCACTCACGAGGGGGTGCAAGGGGCACTCACGAGGGGGTGCGAGGGGCACTCACGAGGGGGGTGCAAAGGGGCACTCACGAGGGGGTGCAAGGGCACTCACGAGGGGGTGTGAGGGGCACTCACGAGAGGGTGCAAAGGTCACTCACGAGGGAGTGCGAGGGGCACTCACGAGGGGGTGCGAGGGGCACTCACGAGGGGGGTGGGAAGGGCACTCACGAGGGGGTGCGAGGGGCACTCACGAGGGGGTGCGAGGGGCACTCACGAGGGGGTACAAGAGGCACTCACGAGGGAGTGCGAGGGGCACTCACGAGGGGGTGCGAGGGGCACTCACGAGGGGGTGCAAGGGACACTCACGAGGGGGTGCGAGGGGCACTCACGAGGGGGTGCAAAGGGGCACTCACGAGGGGGTGCAAGGGGCACTCACGAGGGGGTGCGAGGGGCACTCACGAGGGGGTGCTAGAGGCACTCACGAGGGGGTGCGAGGGGCACTCACGAGGGGGTACGAGAGGCACTCACGAGGGAGTGCGAGGGGCACTCACGAGGGGGTGCGAGGGGCACTCACGAGGGGGTGCAAGGGGCACTCACGAGGGGGTGCGAGGGGCACTCACGAGGGGGTGCAAAGGGGCACTCACGAGGGGGTGCAAGGGACACTCACGAGGGGGTGCGAGGGGCACTCACGAGAGGGTGCAAAGGGCACTCACGAGGGAGTGCGAGGGGCACTCACGAGGGGGTGCGAGGGGCACTCACGAGGGGGTGGGAAGGGCACTTACGAGGGGGTTCGAGGGGCACTCACGAGGGGGTGGGAAGGGCACTCACGAGGGGGTGCGAGGGGCACTCACGAGGGGGTGCGAGGGGCACTCACGAGGGGGTACGAGAGGCACTCACGAGGGAGTGCGAGGGGCACTCACGAGGGGGTGCGAGGGGCACTCATGAGGGGGTGCAAGGGGCACTCACGAGGGGGTGCGAGGGGCACTCACGAGGGGGTGCAAAGGGGCACTCACGAGGGGGTGCAAGGGGCACTCACGAGGGGGTGTGAGGGGCACTCACGAGAGGGTGCAAAGGTCACTCACGAGGGAGTGCGAGGGGCACTCACGAGGGGGTGCGAGGGGCACTCACGAGGGGGTGGGAAGGGCACTCACGAGGGGGTGCGAAGGGCACTCACGAGGGGGTGCGAGGGGCACTCACGAGGGGGTACAAGAGGCACTCACGAGGGAGTGCGAGGGGCACTCACGAGGGGGTGCGAGGGGCACTCACGAGGGGGTGCAAGGGGCACTCACGAGGGGGTGCGAGGGGCACTCACGAGGGGGTGCAAAGGGGCACTCACGAGGGGGTGCAAGAGGCACTCACGAGGGGGTGCGAGGGGCACTCACGAGGGGGTGGGAAGGGCACTCACGAGGGGGTGCGAGGGGCACTCACGAGGGGGTGCAAATGGCACTCACGAGGGAGTGCGAGGGTCACTCAGGAGGGGGTGCGAGGGGCACTCACGAGGGGGTGCGAGGGGCGCTCACGAGGGGGTGTGAGGGGCACTCACGAGGGGGTGGGAAGGGCACTCACGAGGGGGTGCGAGGGGCACTCACGAGGGGGTGCGAGGGGCACTCACGAGGGGGTACGAGGGGCACTCACGAGGGAGTGCGAGGGGCACTCACGAGGGGGTGCGAGGGGCACTCACGAGGGGGTGCGAGGGGCACTCACGAGGGGATGCGAGGGGCACTTACGAGGGGGTGCAAAGGGGCACTCACGAGGGGGTGCGAGGGGCACTCACGAGGGGGTGCGAGGGGCACTCACGAGGGGGTGGGAAGGGCACTCACGAGGGGGTGTGAGGGGCACTCACGAGGGGGTGCAAAGGGGCACTCACGAGGGGGTGCAAGGGGCACTCACGAGCGGGTGCGAGGGGCACTTTCGAGGGGGTGCAAAGGGCACTCACGAGGGAGTGCGAGGGGCACTCACGAGGGGGTGCGAGGGGCACTCACGAAGGGGTGGGAAGGGCACTCACGAGGGGGTGCGAGGGGCATTCACGAGGGGGTGCGAGGGGCACTCACGAGGGGGTACGAGGGGCACTCACGAGGGAGTGCGAGGGGCACTCACGAGGGGGTGCGAGGGGCACTCACGAGGGGGTGCAAGGGGCACTCACGAGGGGGTGCGAGGGGCACTCACGAGGGGGTGCAAAGGGGCATTCACGAGGGGGTGCAAGGGGCACTCACGAGGGGGTGCGAGGGGCACTCACGAGAGGGTGCAAAGGGCACTCACGAGGGAGTGCGAGGGGCACTCACGAGGGGGTGCGAGGGGCACTCACGAGGGGGTGGGAAGGGCACTCACGAGCGGGGTGCGAGGGGCACTCACGAGGGGGTGGGAAGGGCACTCACGAGGGGGTGCGAGGGGCACTCACGAGGGGGTGCGAGGGGCACTCACGAGGGGGTACGAGAGGCACTCACGAGGGAGTGCGAGGGGCACTCACGAGGGGGTGCGAGGGGCACTCACGAGGGGGTGCAAGGGGCACTCACGAGGGGGTGCGAGGGGCACTCACGAGGGGGTGCAAAGGGGCACTCACGAGGGGGGTGCAAGGGGCACTCACGAGGGGGTGCGAGGGGCACTCACGAGAGGGTGCAAAGGGCACTCACGAGGGAGTGCGAGGGGCACTCACGAGGGGGTGCGAGGGGCACTCACGAGGGGGTGGGAAGGGCACTCACGAGGGGGTGCGAGGGGCACTCACGAGGGGGTGCGAGGGGCACTCACGAGGGGGTACAAGAGGCACTCACGAGGGAGTGCGAGGGGCACTCACGAGGGGGTGCGAGGGGGACTCATGAGGGGGTGCAAGGGGCACTCACGAGGGGGTGCGAGGGGCACTCACGAGGGGGTGCAAAGGGGCACTCACGAGGGGGTGCAAGGGGCACTCACGAGGGGGTGCGAGGGGCACTCCCGAGGGGGTGGGAAGGGCACTCACGAGGGGGTGCGAGGGGCACTCACGAGGGGGTGCAAATGGCACTCACGAGGGAGTGCGAGGGTCACTCAGGAGGGGGTGCGAGGGGCACTCACGAGGGGGTGGGAAGGGCACTCACGAGGGGGTGCGAGGGGCACTCACGAGGGGGTGCGAGGGGCACTCACGAGAGGGTACGAGAGGCACTCACGAGGGAGTGCGAGGGGCACTCACGAGGGGGTGCGAGGGGCACTCACGAGGGGGTGCAAGGGGCACTCACGAGGGGGTGCGAGGGGCACTTACGAGGGGGTGCAAAGGGGCACTCACGAGGGGGTGCAAGGGGCACTCACGAGGGGGTGCGAGGGGCACTCACGAGAGGGTGCAAAGGGCACTCACGAGGGAGTGCGAGGGGCACTCACGAGGGGGTACGAGGGGCACTTACGAGGGGGTGAGAAGGGCACTTACGAGGGGGTGCGAGGGGCACTCACGAGGGGGTGCGAGGGGCACTCACGAGGGGGTACGAGGGGCACTCACGAGGGAGTGCGAGGGGCACTCACGAAGGGGTGCGAGGGGCACTCACGAGGGGGTGCGAGGGGCACTCACGAGGGAGTGCGAGGGGCACTCACGAGGGGGTGCGAGGGGCACTCACGAGGGGGTGCGAGGGGCACTCATGAGGGAGTGCGAGGGGCACTCACGAGGGGGTGCGAGGGGCACTCACGAGGGGGTGCGAGGGGCACTCACGAGGGAGTGCGAGGGGCACTCACGAGGGGGTGCGAGGGGCACTCACGAGGGGGTGCGAGGGGCACTCACGAGGGAGTGCGAGGGGCACTCACGAGGGGGGTGCGAGGGGCACTCACGAGGGGGTGCGAGGGGCACTCACGAGGGGGTGCGAGGGGCACTCACGAGGGTGTGCGAGGGGCACTCACGAGGGGTGCGAGGGGCACTCACGAGGGGGTGCGAGGGGCACTCACGAGGGGGTGCGAGGGGCACTCACGAGGGGGTGCGAGGGGCACTCACGAGGGAGTGCGAGGGGCACTCACGAGGGGGTGCGAGGGGCACTCACGAGGGGGTGCGAGGGGCACTCACGAGGGAGTGCGAGGGGCACTCACGAGGGGGTGCGAGGGGCACTCACGAGGGGGTGCGAGGGGCACTCATGAGGGAGTGCGAGGGGCACTCACGAGGGGGTGCGAGGGGCACTCACGAGGGGGTGCGAGGGGCACTCACGAGGGAGTGCGAGGGGCACTCACGAGGGGGTGCGAGGGGGCACTCACGAGGGGGTGCGAGGGGCACTCACGAGGGGGTGCAAGGGGCACTCACGAGGGGGTGCGAGGGGCACTTACGAGGGGGTGCAAAGGGGCACTCACGAGGGGGTGCAAGGGGCACTCACGAGGGGGTGCGAGGGGCACTCACGAGAGGGTGCAAAGGGCACTCACGAGGGAGTGCGAGGGGCACTCACGAGGGGGTACGAGGGGCACTTACGAGGGGGTGAGAAGGGCACTTACGAGGGGGTGCGAGGGGCACTCACGAGGGGGTGCGAGGGGCACTCACGAGGGGGTACGAGGGGCACTCACGAGGGAGTGCGAGGGGCACTCACGAAGGGGTGCGAGGGGCACTCACGAGGGGGTGCGAGGGGCACTCACGAGGGAGTGCGAGGGGCACTCACGAGGGGGTGCGAGGGGCACTCACGAGGGGGTGCGAGGGGCACTCATGAGGGAGTGCGAGGGGCACTCACGAGGGGGTGCGAGGGGCACTCACGAGGGGGTGCGAGGGGCACTCACGAGGGAGTGCGAGGGGCACTCACGAGGGGGTGCGAGGGGCACTCACGAGGGGGTGCGAGGGGCACTCACGAGGGAGTGCGAGGGGCACTCACGAGGGGGTGCGAGGGGCACTCACGAGGGGGTGCGAGGGGCACTCACGAGGGGGTGCGAGGGGCACTCACGAGGGTGTGCGAGGGGCACTCACGAGGGGGTGCGAGGGGCACTCACGAGGGGGTGCGAGGGGCACTCACGAGGGGGTGCGAGGGGGCACTCACGAGGGGGTGCGAGGGGCACTCACGAGGGAGTGCGAGGGGCACTCACGAGGGGGTGCGAGGGGCACTCACGAGGGGGTGCGAGGGGCACTCACGAGGGAGTGCGAGGGGCACTCACGTGGGGGTGCGAGGGGCACTCACGAGGGGGTGCGAGGGGCACTCATGAGGGAGTGCGAGGGGCACTCACGAGGGGGTGCGAGGGGCACTCACGAGGGGGTGCGAGGGGCACTCACGAGGGGGTGCGAGGGGCACCTCATGAGGGGGTGCGAGGGGCACTCACGAGGGGGTGCGAGGGGCACTCACGAGGGGGTGCGAGGGGCACTCACGAACCCTCCTCCCACTGCTGCACCCGCAGCAGGGGGATGGAGGAGAAGGGGGGGGTGGTGTAGAAGCTGCTCGGGCAGGAACCCTTCGTTCGCCACCCCCGCCACCCCCATACTTTCCCCTCTCTGCTGTACGATCAGCAGGGAGACGGAGGAGAAGGGGGGGGGCTGGGGGGGCGGTGCAGGGGCTGCGTGGGTGACTGCAGGTCGCACGAAAAACATCCTCCACCCCCTCACACCCTTTCCCCCACTCCCCCCACAGCAGCAGGCGCAGCCGTGAGAGGGGAGGAGGCGTGGCAGCAGCTGCTGCTGCTGAGGCACATCCGCCACCCCCTCACACCCTCTCTCACTCCCCCCACAGCAGCAGGCGCAGCCGTGAGAGAGGAGGAGGCGTGGCGGCAGCTGCTGCTGCTGAGGCACATCCGCCACCCCCTCACACCCTCTCCCCCCACAGCAGCAGGTGCAGCCGTAAGAGTGGAGGAGGCGTGGTGGCAGCTGCTGCTGCTGAAACACATCCGCCACCCCCACACACCCTCTCCCCCCCTCCTCCCCCCAAACTGCTGCACGCGCAGCAGAGAGATGGAGGAGAAGGGGCGGGGGGGGTATGAGCTGCGAGTGCGACTGCAGGGCACACGGGCATGCAGAAACCGTCGCGCGCAGTAGGAGCACCAGGGGGGGAAAGGAGAGGCGGAGGCGGAGGGGTCCCCCAACACGTCACCCCCAACGCCCGGGGCGTGCGACGGGCAGAAACCTACGCACGCCTGGGGCGTGCGACGGGCAGAAACCGACGCACACCCGGGGCGTGCGACGGGCAGAAACTGACGCGCGACCGGGGCGCGCGACGGGCAGAAACCGACGTTCGCCCTGGGCGCGCGACGGGCAGCTTGACGGACTGTGCCATAGCGGAACCTAATGGTGGGCCCAAAGATGAAGGCTCTAGGAACGAGCCTGCTCTGAATACCATGTCAGAACATTAAGCACCTAGGAAACTAAGTGTAGGCTTAGGAGGCATAGGAGCCATGCTAGGGTTGAGTGTCGAGAGAGTTTGGGTGAGGAAAATCGAGAAGGAAGAAGTGTTCAATAATGAGAAACAGTATAAGGATATAGGCAAGAAGAAAGCCACAAGGTACACCACTTACAGCAAGTGAGATACACTACAACCTACACTACAGACAGTTATAAAGAATATATAAGTATATTCTAATAGAAAAGAGGATCAGCACCGGAGTTCGCCTTTCACACTCAACGACGTAACTGTTGGGTGCAAATTCACATTGCACGACATCCTGCCGTCTGTTTGTACGAGTATACGCGCTATAAACAGTGCAAGCAGAAAGGACGAGCCCGCAAAGGAACCCAAGATGGAAGCTTTGCAGTTCGGTTTAATTGATTGCACAGATTCAGTTCTATCCAACTCGAAATTGTACTGTTTTTTTTGCACAGTACTTTTTGCGAGGCAACTTTACTCTTTTGAAAGCTCTAAGAGTGAGCTTCGATATAGCGAGTTATCAGCTTAATCTAATCGACGGTCTGCACGGCACGCTGCGCGATGTTCAAGGTACTCTTGCTGTTTTGACTAAGTCCCTCTTGATCCCTCTCTCTACAAACTCGAACCCGAGGATAGGGGCTGGTCTTGTACCAAGCACCCAGGGACCCTTGGAGGTGACCCCGAGGAGAGGTTTTAAGTTGGATAACGTCTTAATAGCCTGAGTTATTAGGCCCTTTACACCAACAAGCTGGTATCAGAGCTGCGTTATAGTGATCCTCGTTATAGGTAGCTATGGCGGGAAATATTTCGGCGGGAGCTGGTGAATCTTCAGCCCAAGATCGTAGCGTCAGCCAGGATTCTGGTATTTCGGCGCCAAGAGGAGCGCGAACAAACCAGGGCTTGCTGATCAAGGAGGTCCTGAAGAATTTCACCGTCGAGAAGTTCAATGGTGAGGGCTATGGTGATTGGGCCTGGAAAATGCAATTGTATTTCCGTCAGATTGGATTGCTGAAATTAATGTTTGGGGAGGAGCCTAGACCGAGTGACCCCGCGCTGCAGGAAGATTGGGACGAGCGCGCCTCGGCTGGCTACTACTTGATGTCGCAGAGTTTGGAGCTGAACCAGCGTCACCACGTCATGCACCTCCTGCCGGAGGTTGATTGCGGTCCGAAGGCATGGACCGTGTTGAAGGAGCTGCACGCCCCGACCTCCGTTGTCGCAACGTTGATGCTGGAAAGGGAGCTGTCCGCGTTGCGCTTGAGCGAGGGAGAGCCAGTGCAACCTGTTTTGGACAAAATGCGCGACCTCTACGCGAAGTTGGCGACCGCGGGAATCACCTACCTGGAGCAGACCAAGTGCTTGAAGATGCTCTCGCTGCTGCCGGAATCATAGCTTCAATTCACGAGCGGATTGAGCCTGCCGCAGAACCAGAGCTTGTGGACGCTCGAGTGGTTGCGGACAAAGATTCTGGAGGAGGACTTCCGTCGCCGCCAACTGAGGGGTGGAGACGACGGCAGCAGCGGCTACGGGATGCAAGGGAGCCGACGTGGCAGAGGACATGGCTTCGGTGGTGCTGGACGCGGTGCAAAGAAGGACGATGACTCCAACGACCAAAAAGGAGGTACCGGTTGGGGTCGCGGTGCGAAATCTGGACGTGGGGGCAAGTCGGGTGCTGGTGGCAAAATGAAAGGGAGTTGCTCGTATTGTGAGAAGGAGGGGCACCCCTGGTTTTTGTGCTACAAGAAACCCGATGGATCGACCCCCCAGAATCGTCACCAGGATGGCGCCGCGCGGAGGAACCAGAAAAACGGCGCAAACATGGTCGCCGATTCGTCCGACAACAACCCGAAGAGCAACGGCGGTGCAGAGAAGAAGAAGGAGCGCACCGCGGGCCAGTTCTTCCATATTGGAGAGCAGGGGGAGCAAGGAGACGCCTCTGCAAAGGTTGGAGCAGAGATGCATCCCCTGGACTATTGGGTGTTGGACACGGGTGCTGCTTGGACGATGACGCCGCGCAAGGAGCTGCTTGATGACGTACGAGCTGCACCGATCAACGAGATGTGCTCTGCCTCTGGACACGCGCTGAAGGTGGCTGGTGCGGGACGAGCTGCATTCAAGGGAGCCGATGGCAAGCCGGTGGTGCTGCACGACGTTCTCCTTGTTCCTGATCTCAAGGCCAACCTCATCTCCCTCCGTAAGCTTACCAAGGCTGGGGTGAGCACTAGCACGGATGGGGCACGCACGTACAAGGGGCAGCTGGGAAATCGGGTGCTTTGGGATCTGCACGAGAGCAAGGATGTGTACAGATCCATGTGGCAGCTGCCGGCGCTAGCGTGGCACGGTGGGGGGCAGGCTGGAGAGGGGTCTGCATCCCAGGGGGAGTGCAACGCCGTTGGAGGGGTTGGTGTGAAAGTGTCGGCTAGATCTGGGGAGACGGATTGGGCAACGGCACACCGACGCTTGGGGCATGTGGCAATGCCCTTGTTGAAGCAGCTAGAGAAGGATGGAGCCGTCAAGGGTTTGCAGCTGAACGGACAGCCACCCGATGATAACTGTGAAATATGTTTGCTCTCAAAGTTTACCCGTTTTCCCTTCCATAGTGTGGCTGGCAGGAGCAAGAAGCCTTTGGAGCTGGTTCACATGGACTTGGTAGGGCCGCTGCCGGTTGAAGGACACGAGGGGGAGTGGTATTTCCTAACAATTGTGGATGATTGGAGCAGACTCATGCGGGCGTATCCGCTGAAGCAAAAGGACCACGCCGCCTCTACGATACAGGAAGATTGGCTGTCATTCGTGGAGAAGCAAGCGGACTGTGTAGTGAAGCGGATTAGGACAGACCGGGGTGGTGAGTTCCTTGGAGCTGAGATGACCGCCTGGCTCAAGAAGCAGGGCATTCAGAGGGAGCTGACCACGGCTTACACCCCGCAGTCCAACGGTATAGAAGAACGGGCAAACCGGACCATTCTGGAGACAGCTAGGGCGCTGCTCATAGAATCAGGGGTGGGCAATTCGATGTGGCCCCATGCTGTCCGGCACGCTACCATGGCTAAGAACAGGGTGCTCACTAACGTTGGTAATGAATCGTGGGTGCCGCTGGAGAGGTGGCTTGGGAGGAAGCCGCCGGTGGACATGCTGAGGGTGTTCGGTTGCATGGCAGTCGCCCACGTCCCCAAGAATTATCGAAGTAAGTTGGGGGCGAGTGCAATCTGGTGTGTGCATTTGGGGCTGGCTGCTGAGAGCAAGGGATGGCTGCTGTGGGAACCATCCAAGGGTGTGTTGTTTGACAGCAGGGATGTGAAGTTTGTTGAGAGCATGATGTATGGGGGCTGGAAGAAACAGCCGGAGACTAAGGTGTCCCAGCAGATGGAGCAGATCACCATGCAGCTGGACCTGACTCCTAGTGTGTGGGAGGAGGGAGAGGAGGCAGCTGCAGAGGGTGGTGATGCAGAGAAGGTGCAGGAGGCACCTGCTGGTGGAGGAGATGATGTGGAGACTAGTGGTAGCACCAAGGAAGCTGCTGGATCTGAGGGAGGAGAACAGCAGCAGGGAAAAACTAATGTTCCTGCGCTACCATCAAGGAGGAAGCCGAAAGGTGTTGTTATAAGGGGATGGGAGACACCCGTTTCCAGGCCAGGACGTACCCGTATGGCCACTATGAAGCTGACTGCAGGAGCTGATGTTGCAGAGCAGCAGCTTGGGAATGAGGAGGCATTGCTGATTCTACCGCATGGCTATGACCCGGATGAGGAGGATGAACCTGCCTACTGTTTTCTTGCCCCTGCACCAGAGGAACCAGCAAGCATGGAGGAGGCATTAGCTGGACCAGATAGGGAGAAGTGGCTGGTTTCTATGGATGCTGAGTACCAAAGCTTGCTAGAGAATGGGACATGGGATCTGGTGGTGCTGCCTGAGGGGAAGAAAGCTGTACAGTGCAAGTGGGTGCTAAGGATCAAGACCGATGACAAGGGACAGGTCACCATCTACAAGAGTAGGCTGGTGGCTAAGGGGTTTATGCAGAAGGAGAAGCAGGACTTCAATGAGATCTTTGCTCCCACTCCCAAACCCCCTACCCACTGTC